ATACAAACAATTTCAGGTTAGTTATATTTTCTTTTAGAAAAATAACCTGCTAAGTACATGGTGTGGGATCTCTCTGGATTTCAAAACAATTTCAGAACACTTGAAGACAGAAGCGTTGAATTCAAAGAAGTGGACCTCACCAGCCGATTTGTTTACCCTTACAAACAAATGATGCCAAGTAGAAAAAATGCTGCTGGCCAAAGATTTTGATAAAAATAAAACTGGCTTTGTGTTAACTTGGTCTGTATCAGAGTTGTCTAAATTACTAAACAAACCATACAATTTTCTTAAACTCACTTATAATTGAAAGAGCTTTCTTTCTTTTTGAAGTCTCTAGTCAGAGCTTCACAGCTTGCCTATTTCTAGTTGGGTGATGTGTTTCAAGAAAATTTCTTAACCTTTTTGAGTCTCTTTTTTCTTTTTTCCAGAGAGAGAGAGAGGGAGAGAGAGAGAGAGAGAGAGAGAGAGAGAGAGAGAGAGAGAAACACTTACCGTGTCTAAATCATGGAATGCTGAGAGGTTCAAGTTGTATACTGAGTGTGAAAGATACCTTGTGAAAATGCTAAGTCACTCTACACTTTTTAGTTTACCTTCAGCAGTCATTATATATTTTCTTTCCATATTGAAAGAAACTTGCCATTAACTAGAGAAACTCCAGTGAGTCCTTAAAATAGGATTTGAAAATATACCCTACATTTCTTCCCTAATTGCAAAGTTGCTGGAGTCTTGGGGAGTGTCCTCTCTGTATTTTGCCACATTGGGCCCCAAGCAGAAGGAGTGAACAATACTTGTTGATAGACTAATTAAATCTCTGGCCAAGAAATAAAGCAGACAGAATTCATATTAGCAGCTTAATTTAAAGCTGGAAAGGCAGATAAGTTATCCTCAAACTCTGGGGAATTGGTTAAACTGAATATTATTGTATACTGTATAACGCTTTGGTAATAGTACTGAAATACCAAATCTCCTTACCTGGTGCCTTCAAGGATCACAGTTTAGGGTCCTTTTGCATTTGCTTTCAGAAGTAAGCTCCAAATCTTCAGGAAATCCGATATACCAGCCTCTCAAAAAGCTAACACTCCTTGGTGAGCTGCAGTGTAAATCTTGATGCGTCCCAAGGTTCTAAAAGTGCACTCAATTCAGAGTGTTTGCTGTTTAGGCAAGCTTTTTAATTTTAATTTTTTTATTTTTGCAAAGATGGGTTGCTGCTATTTTCAAGAGAGCCGGGCAGGGACATTGACTAGCCAATGTATACAGATTCTTCTTCCTCTTTCAGAGTAGTTCTCAAACTATTTAAAGCATGCCTGAGTTTGGCTTCTCTAGTACAAAGTGGGGGGAAGGGAAGGAACAGAAAGGGAAAAAGAATTGAAACTGGAGACTTGCAGTTTGTGTGTACAAATGAACTTTTATCCTCTAGTTTCAGCAATAGAATTCTCAGGAAGTCATGCAGCTCCTCTCAGATGGGAAACAGGGAGGACTATCTTCTGTTCAAGTTAGATTTTTATGACCCACGGATGTTTAGACTATTTGTAGGAAGAGGGGGCAATATGGGGGGAGATAATCCTACCAGTATATGCTAATACAATTGGCATTATGTGAAACTTAAGCAAGATAAATTTCCTCTCCCTGTCTCTCCATTCTCTCCTCTCCCTCTCCCTCCCTTCCCCCATAACACTTGGAAATCTATCTACAGTCTAAAAATCTTTCCCTTTCAGCTGCCTTATGTCATGGAAAAAATAAGTGACTTACTTTGAATTTTGTTTTCCAAAATCCTCACAAAAATAAATAGCCTCCACTGGATTAAAATTTTTTTTCCCTGTCCTACTGAGATAGTCTAGAATGATTGGGTTTTCTGTCACTGATCCTGTGTTAGGAATTTAGGCACCAGGTAAGTGGTCTTAGTCTTTGGCTGACCTCAGAGGTATTGGAGCTGTGGGATGCTCAGTGTGGCTTTTGGAGAGTAGGGACATGCCAACCTGGAATGTGTTGATAGAAGAATAGATTGGGACCTTGATGTCACATATCAAATATATAAGGAAGGAAATAAGAAGAATAAGAATAGGAACTGAGGGCAGTACTCTAACCATCCCCAAATCTGTCTTTCCCTTGTACAGCTATATCAATTTATACCACATTTGCTACAACTGACAGTGGGTTTATTATCTCCGTTCCTCACCTTGCCATCCTGTCTTTTCCTCTTCACTCCTTTTCATTACATAGTTATCCCCACATTTTTCTGTCATTTCAGGAAAGAATGAAGTGTCCACACTGATTCTTCTCTGCTGCCATCTCCTCACTCTTTCTAATTTTCCCAGACTCTCTCAGTTCTTACTTTTTATTGGGGTAGAGAAGATAACATGGAAAATAGTTAGAAAGAAGGGGGATACAATTTAGTTGATGGAGAATTTGCTTTAATAGAGTGAGACTTAGGTAAAAGTTTAAGGAGTTTTCAATCAGATAGTATTCATACAGTAGCTATGAGCTAATGGATTCATAGCTTACATGAATTCAGGGCAGAAAGTGGCCTTGAAAAATCAACTTGTTTAGACTTTATATAAAGTTTAATTCCTGTGGGAAAGACATTTGATTTATCACTGTGTCCACAGGTGTTTGCTCACTGCTTTGTTTGGTTTGTTTAATAAATAATTCTATTTCATCTCTCTCGTATTACAGATGAGAAAAAAAGGTTGGAAAGAAAGAACCTCTCACAAGATGTATTCATTTTACTACAAAACCAAGAGAAGGAGTCATCTTTTCTCCATACTGAAATTGATCCAGAAGTCAATACTAATGGCATTTTGGCAGGGTGGACACAGAATGTTACCATGCTCATAAAGTAGATAGTCATACATATGCACATACACTCACTCCTAGAGACTGGTATAGGCATAATTCATCTTTTGGTTCCAACTTATAGAAACCTGGAGACAATGAAGAAAATCATTCTGACAGTAGAAATGGGGTACTCATCCATGTCTCTTTTTCAGTCCTAGGCTTACCCCATGGGTATAAAACAACCCTGGGCTATCATTTCTGTAGTGAGGCAGGGACCCTCTAAATGAAAGAATGGATGAGTTTGAATGAATCCTGTATAACAGAATAGTATAAACCACCTAGAGGAGACAGTACAGATCATCTAAGCCAACACTCCATACATTATTCTCTGCCATCCAATGTAGTAGCTACTAGCTATGTGTGGTTATTTAAACTTAAATGTAAGTTTTATTTTTATAGGATTTTTTTTCTTAAATTCTTTTATTGGTACATTTCAGGTATACAACACAATTACATTTCTCATTGGGAACTTGTACCTTTACATGATGCATCTTGGTTCTTATTTTTTCCCCATTCCTAGCCCACC